AACTGACAGCCAGAGACCCGTGGGCCGTAGTTCTCAGCTTCCAAACCATTGTTCGTTGCATTTTCGCAAAGCTGCTCGGCATTCGCATGTGCTTTCGTTGTCCCGCCTGTGACTGCCGGGATGCCAGCGGGAACGGCTGCCATGTCACCGGGGGGTTGTTCGGCCTCGTGCGCGGCCTCTGTGGCGCCATCGAATATCAAACAAATTCGACTCCGCACTTTCACTGCAACGTCTACAGTGCATCCATTTGGCAGCAACCGCTCCACGAACTCGCGGAGAAATTGAACAACCGAACTATCGAGTTCGACGACGTGAAACACTTTCTCACATGGATACATCCAGAAACTCATCCTGACTACAATTTCCACAATGCACAGCAAGCAGAACTAGAAGCCGCCTGGAACGAGCACAACAGCCACGAAAAGCACGATTTTCTTTGCCATTGGCCAAACTTCATCCAAACAGATGACGCAAAGAGCCCTTGGTTGGATGACATGGCGGCTACCCGAGCAGTGCAAGAAGCCCAAACATTCATCGAGACCTACCGCCGTGTCGCACAAAGCAAAGTGAGCCATCAGCAGATACATTGGCATCCTTATAGCATTGTGCAAAAGTGTCGGTTACCGATCAGTGCTTGCCGCAAGAAAAATGCTCCCAATAAGTGTAAGCATAGCTTCCCGAAGGTGCAGAACGACCGCGGTCGAGTCATATGCCGAGGCAATGCTCGGAAATTTGGATTGAGTACTGCTGGCCGGAGAAATGCTTTAGGTACAATTTTGGATAAGCGAGAAGATCCTTGGTTATCCGGCACAATGTATGCCTTTACGCTCATGTTGTTTGGCAACTCGCACACTGCGGTGAACTTTCGGGTTCCTCTGACTGCTGCCTCCCATGACGCAGAGTGTGCCCGCGGATGTCTCGCACACAATTTGCTCCGGAAGCTACAACGCGCCATGGCACAAGCAGCTCGCCGTTCCACACGATACTTCACAGGCTACTTGCAAAAGCCCCAACCATTGGGTCGGAAAGAGTTACAGCATGCAGCCAAACAGTTGCATTTCTTAGAAACCGCTGCCGCAGACGACCCAGCCGCGCAGCAGCGGAAAGTCGCACATCGAGTGCTTGGGGACCTTGAATTTCGTTGCTCCACCCGGCCCATGACCGAAGAATTCATGTTGGCCGGTTTCGCCACCTCCACCGAACCAACCTCTGCAGAGTGCATTCGTAGTTTTCCCGTAGTCCCCTTTGTAGGCAAAGAATGGCTAAGCATCCTCGATATTTCACAGAAACCCGTCAAAGAGTAAAGCCTTCCAACCCACACAGTTCGACCATCAAGTTTTCAGAAGTATATGGTTGGAGAGGTACAGATCCAAGAGTGTGGTTTTTATCTCCGTGGGAGTTTGTGAAATGGTGGACAGTGAAAAAATTGCAACCACCCCATGGAGAAAATGCTGAGTCCGACACAGGTTTAAGTGTTTGGGTCAATGGGGCAGGCCAGACCAAGAAACCGGCCGACGGCTGGAAATTCGGACGAGATTTTGTCTGGAAGGATTCGTTGCCTGCTGCCCGGCGTGACACCGTTCTTCGCCTGCCGGAAATACCTCAGTGTCACGCTGCACAAGACCACTATCTCGAACGACGCCGCGAACCCTGCGTCCCATACCCCACAGTCTGTCCACTACCGAAGCCCGATATGGCACGAGAAGCCCAAGCTAGGTTGCTTAATGTTTACCTTCGGCCATGGACCTTAGACCTCCCTAATTCTACCCTTCACGTGCCCCACATAGCGGCACTAGACTTACCCTTTGCGGTTAGGAGCGCTCGTTGTCTGACCCGCATCCACACAAAGAGTCCTGTCGGCCAAAGAAGTCACCACGTGGCCTGGAAAGAGTACGTCGCCAACCACGTTGTTTCGGAGCATGCGGCCAGAACAATTCGCAATTTCATTGCAGCCACCGAATGTGATCCCGAGGAGGCCGACGCAATAGAGCCCCCGTCCAACCGAGACAAGTTGGAAGTGGATACATCTTGGGTCAGCAACGAAACCATTCATCGGCTAATCACAGGAGTCGGTTTTGAGTACTCGAAACGCTCCAGTGCCGCAGTCCATGAAATTATCGAAGAATGGAAAATTGACTCGGAAAACTACACCGCATCCCTGCAACCCGTCAACCCCGGCGTGCCCAACATCAAGCCAGATCACAGCCAGAGCATCGCTCACGCACATACCCAGTCACCTCCAGAGCAGTTTTTGACGTGGACATATGGCAACTTGACGGCAGAAGCCGCGGAAGCCTGGCTCACCAACTTGCAAAGTTCCGACGGTAACTGCCGACCCACCGGCGAACAACTGAAGTTTTTGCGCGCTGTCATCCAACGCTGTCTGCAAGAGGCCACCGAAGAGCATGCGGGCACGGCCGACACCGAGCCCTTGCGAGCCATTTTCCATGGCGCGCCGGGGGCCGGCAAAAGCCAAACTCTCAAGTGGCTACGCAGCTTTTTCGAGGACATTTGCCACTGGGAGCATCAGCACCAATTCGTCTTCTTAGCTCCGCAGAACACTCAGGCCGCGCTCATCGGCGGTGTCACCCTCCACGCCTTCGCGAACATCCGTGTTCGAGCCAAAAAGGCCTCCCCGGGCAGCACCCACACCACAGACCAATTCGTCAAGTATCAGCGTTTACGTTGGATCTTAGTTGACGAGACTTCGACCGTCGGACTCGAAATTCTCGCCACGGTCGAAAAAAACTTCAACAATCGATCCGAGACAGAGATACTTGGAAGCTTCGGCCCGGCGGAGAAAAACGGCCGTTCGCAGGTCTGAACTTAATCCTGACCGGTGACCTTTGGCAGTTCCCCCCGGTGAAAGCCACCGCCATTTTCCAAAACCCTTTCGTGGAAAATGGCAGCTTTCAAGTTGCAGCCCTGCAGAAACTGTTTTGGACACGCGGCACAAAGGCTATGCAACACCTATTCGAGCTGACCAAAGAACAACGCTGTGAAGACCCATGGCTCAGTGTCGTCCTGCAACATGCGCGCCACGGAAGCATGACTCAAGAAATTTGGTCCTTTCTCCATGGATTTCCGACTTTGCACGCAGGCTCCTGGAACTTCAAAACCCGCACGGTCGAGTGCGGCCAGACAACTTGCGCCGACCTGCACTTGCAAGCTGCAGCCCTTCACAAGCAACCGCTTGAATGCCAGCAGTGTCGAGCCGAACGCCAACGTCGGTGTCTTGTAGGCAAAGATCAGAAAAGCCCAAAGTTTCTCAACAATCCCTTTGTGCATGGACTCAACGCAGCGAAATACATTGCCGCCAACCTTCGTGCTCGCCAAGTGGCAGCCACCCGGAGAGAAAAACTACTCTGGATAGTCGCCCAAGATACACCACTCTTTCACATCGAACCTGCCGAACTACCCACCCGGCGGGAGAATTGGTTGCAACGCCACGACCAGTCCACAGGTGGCGTCGTCGGTTTGTTGCCCTTGCTGCAAAACATGCCCGTCAGAATCACGCAAACCTTGCCAGAACTCAAGGCATTTGGACTCTTCAAAAATACTCGAGGCACTCTTTGGAGTTGGACGCTACATGAGGCGGACGCTGACGCAGCGTCGCAGAACGACGCAGATAACATCGTCCTTCAAAAAAATGCCTCTAGCTCTGTACGTCCACGTCCCCGGGCAAACATGGCAACAACATACACAACTGCCACCAGGAGTTGCCCGCTTAGAAGCAGTGACACAAACATGGTCCCTGGAAACCAACGGTAAAGCCACAGTTTCTCGACGAGGTTTCCCTCTAGCCTGCGATTTTGCCGGGACCGCACATTCCTTCATGGGCTCCACCCTAGAAGCCTGCACGCTTGATCTCGGCCACTGGGATTCCACCGCGTCCCGCGAGGCTCAACTGAGCGGCTACATGTGCTTGTCCCGAGTTCGAAAAGCCGAAGACTTGTGTATAGCCCAACCCTTTTCCCCCAACTTGTTCACCAATGGGGAATTGATAGGCCCACACACTTTTCTAGAAGTTCATCGCGGCAAGCTCACGCCACAAGAAGCAAAAGCTCGATTTAGTCAAGACAAACCAAGCAAGAAAAGAAATCGTGACATCATGTTGTTTTGCCGCGGCTGCAGCCCACAGCCACATCGACAAGAGAAGATACTGCCTCTGCGAGAATTTGTCACAGCATGGGACCAGGACGAATGGTACCAAGTCTTATCCGAAGGCATGTGTCGCCTATGTCTCCAATGCAAAGCTAAGCAGAGCGGCACACAACCACCCAGTCACCCTGAAGCAATGCATCCTTGTCCATATTGCCCTGAAGCCAGACCGGCCAACAAAACTGGCTATTGTTCGGAGTGTGTCAAAACAGAACGTTTAGCCTGCAGCCGATGTGACCAAGGCAAGAAAATCAAAACGAAACGCTTGACAGACTTCGACCCGGAAGAAGTCAGACGCAAAAAAAAAAACTAAAGAACTGCGACGCGTTCGCTGCAAAAAGTGTGCTACCACCCCTGTCGCAGCCACCTCCAAACAAGGTTTGTGCAGAGAGTGCAATAAGACTGTGAGTGTGTCGCATCTCACGCACTATACTGCTGCGTCGCAAACGGGCCTGTGTCGCGCTTGTGTCGCCAACCAAGCGCGGGCGTCCAAGACCTGCGCAAACTGCGGCCAGCCATTGAAGGCAAGTCAAACTCCAGGTACGTGGTGCAAACCCTGTGCATACCCTCCTTGCACGGGCGGATGTGGAAAACCACGCCCTCAAGTAGGCAAAAGGCGACTCCACGCCAAGAAACATCCTATTTGGCATTGTCCGGAATGCCAAGGCAAGACAGGCCGCTGTGTTCAGTGTGAGCAAGTGGTTACCGTTCCCAACCTTTCCAACGACACCGCCGACAACAACACTGACACATGGTGTGCCGCATGTGCCTATCCCCCTTGCCCAGTGTGTGGTCGACCACGACCACGAAAAAGTGGCTACCATGTCAAAGATTTACCAACTTGGAGCTGCGCAGAGTGCACAGTGAAGTCATGCAGTCAGTGTGGTCAGTCGCTAGACTCCCACGCCATAGCAGATACCTTGTGTATGCAGTGCAGCTATCCGCCGTGTGATGCTTGTGGTCAGCCACGACCACAAAAAAGCGGCTACCATGTCAAAGTTTTACCAACTTGGATGTGTAGCGAGCGCCAATCGCTGCGACACTATCCCCCGTGCGACCAGTGCGGTCGGCCACGGCCAAAAGAAAGTCGCTACCATGTTGACGTTTTGGCACATTGGATCTGTGCAGACTGCCGCGACAAGACTCAGCGTGGCGTGCCACGGAAGAAGCGTCGCACAGTGTAGAAGCCTATGCCATGCAAGCAGCGTGCGCAAGCTGTGACGTGCAACATACGCAGTCCACATCAGATAGAAATTCCATATCAAAGGCTTCATGCACAGAACCACCCTGGGCAGCTCCATCTCACCCCCTACCCGAGAGCCAGCGCATCGCGCAGCCGCTGTAGCCAAGTCCGCAAGAGCATCACTCATGCCCGACAAAAACCATAGTCCGCCCACTTAATAAAAGTTCCATTCTAGACACTCCGTAGGCAAAAGCCTGGTGCACAGAACCACCATGGGCAGCACCATCTCACCCCCTATACCCGAGAGCCAGCGCACCGCGCAGCCGCTGCAGCCAAGTCCGCAAGATCATCGCTCATACCCGGCAAAACCATAGTCCGCCCACTTCATAGCAATTCCATTTGGTAGTCACCCCCAATGTGGCTATGCAGACACCTAGCCAAAGAAGCAGTCGAACGCGGCGTGCTTCCAACCGCGCAGATCCTTGGCGCGTACTCCGCAAGAGCATCGCTCATGCCCGGCAAATACCATACTCCGCCCACTTAATCGAAATTCCATTGTCAAAAACCAAGTGCAGAGCAGGGTTTCGATCGTTTGCTCCCGAACGGCCTCGGCCATGGCTTCGTTTTCGTGGGCTTGTGGAGCCAAAGGTTCGGTTGGACCATCTGCCAGCACATGACTACTCTGTCAGAGTCGCATTGCAAATACTGTGCCACATCCAGCACATCCTTCTCAATGCCCTCTCACGATTTCGACGTGGGTATGTGGGTATGTCATTTCAAGTCTCTCATGACCTAACAAGCGGTGGCAACAACCGTCTAATCACCAACCCCCTCCATCGCACCACCGTCGAGAGCCTAGACGCTGTGCGCGTCCAGTCGCACAATCCTTGGCGCGTTTGCGCCTTCGCTCGAGCCTCCGCCAGAGCATCGCTCACGCGGCCAACTTCACGACAACAACCAGGCCGTAGCAGCCAAAAAGGACCGCTCAGCGAGCGCTGGACGCGCGGTGTGTCTGTGAGTTCGTTCTCGCCGGATGCGCGGTGCGTGCAGACAGCAGTGTCTGCGAGTTCGTTCTCGCCAGGTGCACATCGTCTACATCTTCCGTCGGTGGGGGCCCGAACAACCCCTCCCTGTGCAAGACGGGGACCGGGACTTCGGGCGTCCCGGTAGCATCCTTCTCGCGAAGGAGGCTGACCGCCCGGGCGTATATCGAGTATACGCCGAAGTCGGGAGAGCCGTCTTGCACATTTCCTGCCATCTCTCTCTCTCCTCTCTCCCTCCTCTCTCTCTGTCTGTCTCTATCTCTGTCTCTATCTCTGTCTCTGTCTGTCTCTGTCTCTGTCTTCTCTGTCTCTGTCTCGGTCTTCTCTGTATCTGTCTTCGCTGTCTCTGTCTCTCTCTCTCTCTCTTTCTCTTTGTCTCTCTCTCTCTCTCTCTCTCTTTCTTTTTGAGACTTTGTGGGGCCTATGTGGCCCGTCTTGGGGCTAGGTTTCCCATATCTGAGAGCTAGGGAGGGTCATCTTCGCTGTCTCT